GCCACCGTGCCGCCCGATCAAGGTCAAGGAGGAGAATTGGGAAGGAAGGGGGGTTTCTTCCAAATGAAGATAATGTGGACTGAAAACTGTTGTTCTTTATAGTAGCTTAGGGCTCATTTGATTGGAAGATAATGATTAGCTAATACGAGACCGGCCGTGATAAATCATAAGCACGTGATCCTCTCGAAATTAGTTTATAAACAAACTTCACTTAAACATTTAACAGCAGTTTTAACGGAGTGCCCAGATATGGGTGTAATGCATTCCACAGTAACGCGTTACTGTATTTCCTGGAACACAGTAATGTAACGAATTACATTTTAAATGTGTGTAATTTGATTACAGAAAGTCAAAGTAATTGTGTCACCAACATTACAAATATAGTTTTTTGGAAGAAGAAAAAAAAGCTTCTTTTAAATTATGTTTTCTGCTGCAATGTCAGTTCATAAGCATGCGCCTTTAAATTGCTAGAGAATGCAAGCTGAAATGGTTGCTGTGAGATCGGTTGCTTCTTCATTTGAAAATATTCATTGAGCGTAAAAGCTTCAATATTGCTGTGAACTGCAGTCTATGTCCAGTCTCTAAAGAACGTTCGACTGCTTTTAACTCGACCAGCAACTTGTAAGCATTCTACAACAATACTCGTCACCAAGGAGGACACAGGCGCTCCAAATCACGGTGGCCCAACTCACGGTGGCCCAACAGGCTAAATAGTTTTTTTTTTTTGTGCAGGATTGGGAGTGAAGGTACTTTCTGAATGTAAAAAAAAAAAACATAGCTGCTTATGGGGTCTTTCACATATTGCGCACGCTCACAATTTCCAGGCCAACCCAGATAAAACCGCAAATCAAGCGACAAGAACTGACCAATCAGCTTCATACTTTGTATGGAATATACACATTTAGGTAGACTAATTACCTCAGACAAACACAGAACACCCAAAAACTGTAGTGCATTTGCATACCATGGATGTCAGTGGTCAGGTATCCAGTTTTCTTTCAAATGTTAAAAAAGACAAACTAGATTGGAAAAATGAAATGATAAGAGAAGTTTAAGTTTTGGGCGAACTAAGTCTTTTGAATATGTTAAGCTGCTGTGATCAACCCATTGTAATGATTCTCAGTGATTATTAAATGACTGAAAGAGCTGAAGTTTTTTTTTTTTTGTATTTTATATGGTATCTTATATGTTTTAAAAGTAAGTTCAAAGTAATTAGTAATCTGATTACTTTTTACATGAAACAATTAGTAATGTAATCAGATAAATTTAGTAATGTAATCATACAATTTCTTGTAGTAATCCGTAATTTGTAAATTATTACTTTTTTAAAGTAACTAAACACTGAGATCGGCTTATTGACATTTTAGTAGGGGATAAGATATTGTTTAGGAAATAATATATAGAGAACAAATTTAGTAAAATAACATATAACGGCAATACAGGCTGCTTATTACAAGTTTTTTTGTAAATTTTTCAAACTTTTCAACATTAAAAGCTTTTGGAGGAAAGGTCGACATCCCATAATGCAATTCAAAAGCATAACTAAGTGAAAAATATTGATCACAAAGTACTATCAATTTACAGATTTTTTTTACAGTGTACATTCTCAGAGAAGAGGAAATCATGAAAGATGTCATTGAAAAATAAATTCAGGCGGGTGTCCAATATAAGATGTTACGAGAGAAGCACAGCAGCTGTTTTTATCAAACATGGGCGACATCATATTAAATTGTCGATTGGCCATGTTTATTCCAACTTAGCAGCTTTAACATGGATTCCCAGCACCACCCAAGAGTTGTGGTCTGGGTGGCAGTATGGGCGCAGGAAATGTAACACACACTGAGGTTTTCAGTAGTCTGTGGGCAGAAGCACTGCTGTATATGCATTTCGACGCTCTTTACTTACGCACCCATCTTTCTCTGTGAAATAAACTACCTCAGAGATGTTTACCCATCCCTTGAGTGGTTTCTCTGACGTCCATTGCTGAAATATTTTGTGGTAATAATGGTGACTTGGCATAAAGTATTTCAATGGAGAGTACTATATACCTCTTATTAAAAGTTTGAAATCAGCATTTTTTTATTTTTATTTGGAAAGAAATAATACTTTTATTCAACACTTATGCAATAATTTGATCAAATCTCAGTAAAGATGTTTAGAATGTTCCAAAAGATTTTATGTCAAATAAATACTCTACCAGAAAGACCATCGAGATGAATATGATATTGAATTACATTTATTTGATGAGTATTGATTGACAAAAAGTATAAAACTTAGGATTTATTTGGTGGAGGCTCCGTCCGTAGCTTGAATCGAAAGTTTGTATATTCAGCTATGGCTGCCGAGGACAAAGGCAGAGCTTACCCTCCTGGACAGGTCTTACCTGATGATGGTGGCCAAATGTCCGCATCAGTATCTGAATGAATGAAATGAATGCACAGCTAATATATTTCTTGTGTCTCGTTGCGATTGGTTGGAACTAAATATGATAGTGATGTGACATTGGGTATTGGGTAACTGATTGTGATGAATAACGTGATATTATGTCTTCCTGTTAGCGCTAAAAGCTACATTTCTAACTTTTGTGTTTCCTAAAATATATGAACTATTTTTTAACATTGATAATAATAAGACATTGTTCTTAAGCAAATGAGATGTTTTCTGAATTTCTGAAGTAATGGTTCTGTAAATTCAGCTTTGCCATTAAAAAAATATAATATATTTTTATATATATTGAAATTAAAATATGTTTCTTAAATAAGCAATCTATCTTAATATTATTATAGATAGAGAGTCTTTACTGATTGATTGCCACTTTAAAATATGTTACTTTTGAGAAAAATATATGGGTAACACTTTAGTACCAATTCCCGCTATGAAGTACAGTTTACCTGCTTTGCTTATTATTAAGATGTTGTCTGATTATAAAGTATGCTCTTATTTTATATCCCTAATCCTACCCAAAACCTAAACCCAACTACTACCTTGCTGACCATAAATAAACAGCAAATTATTAGTTTATTGAGCTGAGTAAAAGTCTAAGTTAATGGTTTGTATACAGTGTTCAGCATAATTGAGTACACCCAATTTTCAAAATGAATATTCTTATGCATTTCTCAGTGAATATAGATAATGTATTTTGGTGCATTTAAACAGAACAGATTTATTAAACTGATATATTTATTAAAATAATATTTTAGTCACCAAACATATTTAGAAACTGAAAGATAATACAATTAAATTCAAGCAAAATATTAAAGAAAGAAATTCCAACCTACAAAGTTTCAACTAACTTTTTTAATTTTTGGCTTTTCTTGATTTTTGCTATCTTTTCAATTTGTATTTAATATTTTCTATAACATATATTGGGTTTTACAGTACTCAGTTAGTTTGTGTTGGGTTTTTGCTGAAATTGCTTCATTTACTCAAATGGATTAAGTTCACAGTACTCATAAGGATTCGTTTCTGAACTTAAATGAGTTGTTGCAGTCGGTTTCCTCAAACGGTTTGAGCAATTTTGAAAATGAGTACTTTTATCATATTTCTCAGTGAATATGGGTAATATATAATGGTGCATTTGAACATAACAGATTTATTAAACAGATATATATTCATTAAAACAATATTTTATTCGCAGAACATCTTTAGAAATTGAAAGATAATACATTTAAATGCATGCAAACTACAACATTTCAACAAAATTGTATATATTTTTTGCTTCTCTTGATTTCTGCTATTTTAACCGACTAAACTAATGTATATGCACAAATATAATATTGTAAGCTTCCTATAGAAAATATTAATTTAAATGAGAATTTGTGAGGGGTGTACTCTTATATGCTGAGCACTGTATACATACATACGAAGTCCATAAACATTGCTCAGCATATATAAGTACACCCCTCACAAATCTATCTTTTAAGTTCATATTTTTAATAGGAAGCTCTACAATATTATATTAGTGCATATACATTAGATTAGTCAGCACTGAAGCCAAATCTGGAGCTTATCTAACAAAATAACCTACGATAGTGGTCCAGAAACGATTCTTAATGTTATAGAAAAATATTAAATACTATTATAAAAAGAGGAAAAATCAAGAGAAGCAAGAAAATTTAAAAATTTAGTTAAATTTTTGTAGGTTGCAATAATTTTTGCATTATTTTGCTAGAATTTTATTGTGTTATCTCTCAGCTTCTAAACATGTTTCGTGTTTGAATAAATATATCTGTTTAATCAATCTGTTTTGTTCAAATGCACCAATATTACCCATATTCACTGAGAAATTGATAAAAAAATATTCATTTTCAAAATGGGGTGTACTCAATATTGCTGAGCAATGTACATACAGAAGGCTTCATTGCCTTTTTTTTGCACTAGCAGATCCCTTTATCTTTTCTGATGAATAACTGCAGAATTTATCAGTTTAGCCTCTGTTATGTGCAATAGCACTGTGTGATAAATCTGGTTTAAAAAGATCTGCATTAATTAGCACTAGATCAAAGTCTCCTTTTTTACGTTCTTTTGCTCTAGCCACATGTGGTCCACAGACTCGGCCCAGGCATATGGTTTTATTTAGCTTTGTGGAAAGGTTAAATAGGAAACTTGGATAAGAGAAAAGGCACTGAATCTTTTTATATGATGAAATTTTGAAAGTTTCTGGGGCATTTTAAAACATACATGTAAAAACTTATCAGTCTTTTGGTTTGCGAGTCGGTCTTGGCGTAGATGGATTTTGGCCGTTACACTGCGTTTGTCTCTATTGCCTGTTTAAACACAGTGGTTTGTGTAGGGCTAATTCTCTTGGATAAAACGCCTGCACCAGACTCCTTTAGATACTGGCACCAGACAAATTGCAGTGCTTTTTTTTCTTTTTGACCGTGAGCCTCTGGTTGGGTGTAAACATAAATACAGAAATGAGTAAGTGTATATTAGAAACACAGTTTGAGCACTGGTGTGGGCATTTAAAAGATCATGACTGAGACACACAAATACAAAAATGACAAAGAAAAAATCTTTATTGGTTAAATTGCTTTTTCACAGATTTGATTAATGTCCGTTTTTGTTTGTGATTGCTCGGTTTTTCCACTGTCATGCACACGGTACGACAGCGGATTCCCATTACATCAGTTTAAACCCAAATTTGCACTATTCACCAGATGCACAATCTTGCCTTAGCCACTCAACATCTCAAACCCAAGGATTATGTGAGAGCACTGTTAAAGTGTAGTGATTTTTACGCCTCGTAGTGTGATGTAAAATAAATTAGTTACGTGCATAACAGAGAACTTTTCGTCATTTTTTTGCATCAAATAACACCCTAGCCAAAATCTCAGTGCAAACACCATTGTAGCTGAAAAATCCATGAGCCTCTGCAAATGAGTACCAATATACTATGATGCACAATTTGAAGAATCAAAACAAGGAATGTCCATAATGAAATTTCATCTACTAGTGTTTGGTAGTTGTGGAGCTACGCTGGCATATATCTCTTAATATAACTGACTAAATATTAGTCCAGCTCTAAAAAAGCAGTCTTCTAAAAAAACCTCACATTTGTGACATTAGCTTGATTTACAGTACTAAGTCTCTATCTCTCAAGCAGCAACGATTACATTGAGTTAAAAAGGTCATTCACTCCAAAGGTAAGACGTTAATTTCTATTCATTCTAATAAAAAAAAAAACTAAATCATTCTGTCTGCCCTCCAAAAATAAAGGAAAATAAGAAATAAAAAAGAGAACAAAAATAAAGCCTTTCTCTCTCATACTATTCAGTAAAAATCAAGATGCAGAAAAAAGAAAGAATCAAGCCGTGTAAGTTACAGCAGCTCAGTCCACATATAAGACATTTCCGTTTCATACCACCACCCAAAATACAACAAATATCATCGAATAACAAAAACCAACACCACATAAATTCAAAGTTTATCAGGAAAATGACAGTCCACTGTGATTAATAACAAAAAAAAAAAAAAACACATTTGCTGATGAACGTATTGCTGGAATTTGGATTATTGTCAATAAATATGCACTTGGATGGTATTAATTGTGTAGACATGACCTTGAGTAGTAGTCAATCTTTATCTAGTGGTGGATATCATGTTAATCTTTATGAATAAATAAATATTAATTCATGACTGTGAACACCCTGTTGGATTTGAGATCATGCGAACGATTGACGTTATAACCGGGATCGACTGTAGGGGGGGTTAGAACACAAATCTACACAAACTGTAGGAGTGCAAAGTGTTAAAGTGGAATCATTGTGTGGCATTTCAACAAGCACAACAAAAATCAATCACATCGCCAAGGTCTGTTCTGGTGGGCTGAGTTGAGAGACGTGGCAAGTTCAGTGCCGTTCGTCCCGGACGAGCCCCCTTGACTGTTCGGTAGTTAGGGCATGTTAGCTCTGCTAGTTTCAACATCATTGTTAATGAATAGTACCTCCAGCAGTGTGAGTAATTTTATGTCTCTGTATCGACTAGAGTCTAGAGTGAGGAACTTGCGAGGATTCAGCCTCGCCTCCTCGTTACAGGAGATGAGCATGTCTCATTGCCTGTGTCAGTCCTCTAGCGTTGGGATGTGGCATGGCTAGACGTCCAGGTCATCAGGCCTCGCTCGACTGCTCATGCGGCTGCTGGCACGGCTGCACGGCCGTGCATCTATCAACGCCAATGGCTGCAACTCATGCCCTGGCGTCAGTTTCTTGTGCTCATGTGTATCATCAGGGTAGTCGAAGGCTTGTGCATGTGAATTGGAGATGGTGCTGCCATTCTGGCCCAAGCGATTCTGTTCTGTGCTGTAGTTGGCCCAATTCTGCTCATTAGCCTGCTTGTTGTAATTGCGGCAAGAGTTGGTCCTTTCGCCGGTGGCCAGTTTGTAGCCTGGAGGTGACATTGGTGAGAGCGGTGCAGTTGGTGAGGAGCAACCATTGTAGTACGCGTATTTGGTCGTAGACAGTTCCTTCGGCGTGGGGCTCAAAGTGCCAGTGGGAAACTGTGTGTTTTGTCGGCTTTTGACGCGGTCCTTGATTCGTTTGAAGAGCACGTAGAAGAGCTCGATGATGTTGAGCAAAAGCGAGAAGAGCGAAACCACTAGCATGAAGATGATGAAGATGGTCTTCTCGGTGGGCCGAGAAAGGAAACAGTCCACCCTATGAGGGCAAGGCGTGCGTTCGCATGTGTACACGGCAGAGAGGCTGAAGCCGTAGAGGTACCATTGGATGACCAGGAAGACCACCTCACAGATGGACTTGAAAATGATGCTGAAGATGTAGGTGCGCAGCAGGCTACCCTTCATCTTCACCTTGCCGTGCTCCTCTAGGCCATGCTTAAACTTCTTGAGCTCGATTTTCTTGAGATGGAGCTCAACGTCGCCGCCGTCGTTCTGCACGGCCTTCAGCTCCTCTTCTTTACGGTTGAGTTTCTCCTCCTTTCGCATCAGGTAGAAGACATGCGCCAGGTACAGGAGCGTCGGCGTGGACACGAAGATGATCTGAAGCACCCAGAAGCGCACGTGCGAGATGGGGAACGATTTGTCATAGCAGACATTCTCGCAACCAGGCTGCTGGGTATTGCACTTGAAAGCTGACTGCTCGTCACCCCAGGCCGATTCCACTGCTGTTCCCAGAACAAGGATCCGGAAGATGAAGAGCACAGAGAGCCAGACCTTCCCTCCGGCCGTGGAGTAGGCCTGCACCTTGTCAAGAAGCCTTCCCAACGCACTCCAGTCACCCATCTTGAGGGAGTTCTAGCTGAAAATAGAAAGCTCATATGTAATCAAATGTATTTAGACACTTTGGTGACACTTGAATATGTCTTAATGTCACTGTATTAGATGCACACTATCAAAGTGACAAATAATACTTCACATTATTTTCTTTTAACCAAACAGTCCATCACTTTTACTGCATTTATGAAAACAGTTCCCCTTCAAGTTCATGCTACTATAATATAAAGTCATATACATATATTAGTTACTTGGCTTTTTTTGAAAAGTTGTAGTGATTATGTAATGCAAAGATGACATTTAAACACGTTGAAGTGTGGCTTATGTGTCCATAAACTTTTTTTTTTAATCTGAGGTCACTGTAGGCACATAATGAAAGTGTTAGTTTCAGCACCTGCTGAGGATGTTATTATGAAAATAATCATGAAAGCTGACCTCAGGATTATCATAATATAAACTACACCTGGTCTCGGATAACAAACATGTGGCTCCCACAAGTAGGGGTTAAGTTTTAGGTTGTAAAGATAACTGCCAGAACTGGCTTTTGCTTAGTGAATTAAACATTCACAAATAAAAGCTAGCATGATAGTTTTTTTTACAGCAAGTGAGTCATCATCCATTGATTAAAAAGATCTTAAATACCATTAAAAAACATTGCCAAGCATAGGACATTGCTTGACTAGGGATTTTAAAGACCCTTGTTTATTCAGCAAGATGTCCTCCAGATATTTCAGAGATGTTTAAATACAGAAAATACCATTCGCTTCAAATCTGAATTGGGAAGCAAGTCTTTGATTAATTTCCCAGTGCAGCATGGAAAGTCAAATATCATAAGGAACTGTTTAAGAAGTTCTAAAGAACTGCCTGTTTCATGTGGTGCAGGCATGAAGAAGAGCATCTCTTCAATATCCTGGACAATTTGTGGGTCTCGTGGCACTAATAAAAAGTTTGAATGGGGTATGTGGAATGTATTTAGCATAATTACAGTGCTAAAATCTGTAAGTGGGGAAAGAAAACAAGCACAATGCGATAAATATTTTTTATTCTTGTTTAGACAATAAGTGGGAAGTAATTACAGTTGTTTTTTCTGTGCTACATTTGACTAAATCTTTGATTTGTTGTTAGGCTGTAAAATAAAGTATAAAACAATGTTGGTCCAACCTTATATTAGGTGGACTTAACTTTTAGCTGAAGCACAATGTACTTTTGTGTTCATATTGTATTGCATAACACTATTGAGGTGGAATACGGGTAAGGTTAGGGAAAGGTTTGGTGATATAGGTAGGTTTAAGAATGGGTTAAGATGTAAGGAATGTGTTAAATAACTAAAAACAAATTACATAATTAATTACATGCAGTTAATTGAAAAAATATAAGTACTATTGTGGATGCTTATAAACCTTGTGTTTCTATCTGTGGAACCTAGCATGACATATACGATGAATTTTTGTTAATTTCTTTGTCTTGCGTGGAAAAGTACAGCAGGTCTGTAATGTAACCTTGAAGAACTGATATAAGCGGGAGAAAGCCATCCCTTAGTCACACTCTGCAGTGAACCTGTGTTTCTGCATGACTGTCTGACCCTCTTGGAAGAGAATAAAATCATCTTCAAATATAATTGGACATGTTTGTGTCCTACTAAGTGATGGAATTTTAATATTGCCACAACACTATGTTAATACATGAGTGTACACAATAGGTGTATCAAGGGATTAGTTTATATGTAAGCACATAGTAGTTAAAGCCACTTAATGTGACACCAAATTGTTTGTTACATTTATTCAAACATAAACTGAAAGGGAAAAAATGTTATTACATTGATTACAAAAATAATGTTGAAATGATTGAGAATTGCAGGTTAAAGTTTGCTATAATAAAGCAGAGTTACATGAAATGAAGGTCTTAACAGCGCCTCCTCACGACACATAAATATCCTTTTTCCGAAAAACAAAGTTGTATTAGAATTGTTTAAAATAGGAAGAAAAACATTTATATTACATCTTATACGATAAGAAAAATTTATTGTTCTAATTGTTTCCAGTATTTTTAATTTGTGACTTCTATTGAGGCTGTTTTTTCTTCATAAATTTCTCCCAAAAACAAAAAGTTATTCCATTTTTGTTTTAATTAACTTCATGCCTTTTAAATTAGTTTATTAATCTACCGACTGTGTCTCCTGCAATATTAGACGTGAATAATAAAGGCTCATTCTAAAATATGATAGCATAATTTACGTTTTGACAAAAAGTAAATAGCAAATATGAATCATATCATGGCGATTAATAGAATTGTGAACGTGTAAACTCATTGAAGCGTTGTGTAAAAGTTACGATTTACCATGAAAATGGCATATAAATCTTTGCAATTATTAAAAAAGTATATTTCCACCGTTTAGCTCTGTATATTATTGTCTTGAAGCAAGAAGAAAAAAAGTTTTGAAAAGTTGTAAGACTGTGTAAAAACTTACCTGGAAAGAAGTAAAGAGTGGAGAGCCCTGTAGGGACTTACTCCGTCGCCTCTGAAGTTCAGTCACCAAATCCAAGTACGCGACTATGGAGAAACTGAAGCACACTTGTCAAACTTTCCCTGCTTATAAGAGAGTCAGAGGGAAGAAAGTGGAAAGCAGACGCACAAAGTTTGGCGAAGTCACATGACTAGCGACGTCACGAGAGTTTTTTGGGTCCTCCTTGTAGCCTAAACTCGCTCACTTGATCCTCCGGTTTACCAAACGCTTCTCTCGAAAACGTCATGAAACTGTCGAGAATTTTGTTAGTTATGTCATATAATAAATCTAAATAGGAAAACAATTTGGTGGCTGCACTGTCGCCTCACGGCAAGAAGGTCGCTGGTTCGATTCTGTGACATTTCTGCGTGGAGTTTGCAGGTTCTCCCCGTGTTCGTTTGGGTTTCCTCCACAATCCAAAGACATTCGGTACAGGTGAATTGAATAAACTGAATTGGCCCTGTATGCGTGAATGAGTGTGTGGATGTTTCGCTGTACTGGGTAACAGCTGGAAGGGCATCCGCTGCGTAAAACATGCTGGAAGTTTGTAGTTCATTCCGCTCTGGCGAGCCCTGATGAATAAAGGGACTAAGCCAAAGGAAAATTACTGAATGAAAGAAAACAAGTTGTAACCTATAGGCTACAATGGCAAGTCTGACTTTAAAACTGAAAAGGTTGAGTGGTATTAGAATTGTATAAGACAAGATTATGATTTTCTGAAATTAGCAAGTAAGCCTATAGCCTACTGATCTTTGTGAGGCATTCATAGACCGTATGCCCCATTTCATCCATAGACTTTCATAAAAGGGGTTGATCCACTTGAAAAGTCAATTACTAGCCTATATATATATATATATATATATATATATATATATATATATATATATATATATATATATATATATATATATATATATATATATTGAAGTTTTACTTAAAACTGTCAAACAACACAAAATTATGGACAATTTTTTTTTACTTTTTTATCCCCCTTAAATGTTAACAACTGTATATGCACGCAGGTATTATTTGAGTAGGCTATGTGGTGTGTGTGTTTCTTTCTGTCGGTCTTACTATAGCACCTGATATTTCTCATCTTCTTTATGAAAAAGTTGTTACGTATTCATTTTCATTTACGTTTGTCTTTGTTGTCAAATTTTTATTAGAACAAAGCATATTTAAACACACATATTTCATTAAATGCCACTGAAATGCTTTTGAGACAAACAAAAATGAGTAAATCACTGGCCTTGTAGAGACAGGAGTTCGGTTTAGCGAGTGCAACTCAAGCAGTTGTACCGCCATCTTGTGTTCAGTTAGCGAGCCTTACAGTTGACAACATTGATTAAACACACTGGAGCCATTCCAGCGTTATGGATGTAACATTTGCAGTAAAAAAAATCTTAAAACATAAATACAAAAAACCTATATATTAACATTACATTGAAACATTTGTTAATATTTTGCAAAACAACGAACCACAGAGTTATGGGATCAGAAAAATATCTATCTGTTAACATGCTTAATATTTTAAATTAGGAAAGTAGACATGCAAGCCCGTAGCCAGGTAGTTCGGGTAGTTCAAAAGACTCACCCCTCATTGACAAAAGTCCAGAATTTGTCCCATGCATATGACTGCTATGGCATCATAAATAGTGAAAATAACCCATCGAAAAAGGTTTGAAGACCAAGTGGAATCCTCTGTCGGCTGTCGCTTCAGTTTGACTTTATTCATTAATTCATTTTCTTGTCGGCTTTATTAAGCTGGGGTCACCACAGCGGAATGAACCGCCAACTTATCCAGCATATATTTACGCAGCGGATGCCCTTCCAGCTGCAACCCATCTCTGGGAAACATCCACACACACACTCATACACTACGGACAATTTAGCCTATCCAATTCAACTATATCACATGTCTTTGGACTGTGGGGGAAACCGGAGCACCCAGAGGAAACCCACGCAAACGCAAGGAGAACATGCTAACTCCACACAGAAACGCCAACTGAGCCGAGGTTCGACCCAGCGACCTTCTTGCTGTGTGGCGACAGCACTACCTACTGCGCCACTGCTTCGCCCCTAGTGTGACTTTAGCTAATTAGTTTTAGCCAGTTGCACAAAATAATTTTTCATGAGTCCAACATCCAGATGTGCAAGACAGCATGCAATCTGATGAAGTGAGGTCATCTTTTGCTACTGTATTGTTTTTAAAGAGAGAAAAAATATTACAAGTAACTTGTATACTACTGTAAATCTTGGAACAAAAAATGACCAATGAAAAGGTGTGAAGCACAAAAAGCAACCGATATTAAAATGAATTTGAATACTATTTTGGCTATTGTTGTTATCCATGTACTTTTTTTTTTTTTTTTTTGGTTAAGCTGAAAAAAAGAACAGCTTAAACCAGCCTTGGCTGGTTGGCTGCTTTTAGTTGGTTGACCAGCCTGGTTTAAGAGGGGTTTTGGCCATTTCCAGGCTGGTTTCCAGCCATTTACAGCCTGGTCTGGAAAATGACTTGCTAAATCCAGCTAAAACCAGCTTGACCAGCCTGGTTTAAGCTGAACATGGCTGGTTTTGGCATTTTGCCAAAACCTCTCTAAAACCAGGCTGGTCGACAAGTTAAAACCAGCCAATTAGCCTAGGCTGATTTCAGCTTTCAGTCTTTTTCAGTAGGGCGACAATCTATTTTAGCTAAAGTAGTGCTTAAAATGTTGCTAAAATGCATTATTCAATATTAAATAGTAGCCTAAATGTGGCCTACAACTGCAAAATGGTCCACTTTTTGAGTAAAAATGAACCACCCCTGGCCTGACATGAGTTATGAATGAGATCAAAAAAGTATGCAAGTTTACAGTTTACGTGCTTTGTAGAAATTGTAAACAAATGTGAAATTGCCACTTTTGTGACTTTGGTAAATCAAGTATTCCAAAACAGGAGAATGTAGTTGACCTTTTGTAGATTTAAAGAAGGCATTTAATACAATAATTCATAATATATTGCTGAATAAATTAGAAAGGTGTGGAACTAGAGGAGTAGTCTTGGATTGAATAAGCAGTTATTTAAAAAATAGGCAACACTATTGAAATTGGCAACCATAAATCTTCACACCTAAATGTAAAATGTGGCATACCGCAAGGTTCAGTTTTTGGTCCAATATTGTTTATAATTTACAATAATGATATGTGTAAGATATCAGAGTTCTTTAAGTTTATTTAATTTGTGGATGATACAAGTATCTGTCACTTTATTTTGATGGTCGGTTTGTTGAATTTAAGTTACATTGCATCTACATGCCAACTAGTTCTCATAAATGTAGACTGTTTGGTTGGGATTAATGTAAGTTGTCATACTTGCAAAGTTTCTTATAATCAGTTAAATGTCTGTTGAAGGAGCATATCAACAGATATTAAGCAAACAGTCTAATACTCAAGTGGACAATCAAAATAAACTGTTAAGAAATACTAGCCTACACAAAAGGATTTCACTATTTTGGTGAAAAACTTAATTTTGTTTTATGGCAAGGTTGAAAATGGAATCGTTAAATGTTTTACAACGTAAAGTATAATTATTTATTTGTGTCCCCCTAGCATGCGCTGATTGGTTTAAACCAATCTTTTTCATGAATTAATGATGAAAACTCAAAGATGTCACATTTTACCGTTACAGACATCTAGTCTCAACCCTGGAATTCAAACAAGGATCTCATGGCTGTGACGTAGCTTCAAAATTTATTTTCAAACTGAATTTTCTTGAAATATCACGAAAGCTACTAATTTTCACTTTTTTTGTGTGAAATAAATGTGTCCTAATAATGCTTTTGGCAATGTGGGACACATATATGACTGTCAATATCTAAAAAAGAATGTGTTTTGGTGTTTCGTGACCCTTTAAGCCTCAGGTTTGGCTGCGTCCAGACTGCCTTTTCTTTGACTCCACTTGTTCTGAAAGGCCACATTAAACTCATTATGCCTCATCCCATTCATAGACTCGAGTTCTGTTGTGAAATGTCCCGGATAACGAGATTCACCATTATACATTGCTTGTCTACACTTCTTACTTCTCCGACTGATCCTCCTACAAAGCAAATAAAATATCTCCAGAACATTTAAGGCCAGAGACACGCAAGCCACCACCAGCATGAAGATAATGAAGATGCTTTTCTCCGTGGGTCTGGACACGAAACACTCAGCCCTCATACAGGGTGACCTTTCACAGATGAACTTGTGGTCAATGATGAATCCAAACAGATAATACTGTCCGACGATGAAGGCCACCTCTAAAATGATCTTAATGAACAGTTGCGTCAAGTAGCTACCCAACATACTTCCTTTAATTTCGACCTTTCCGTTTTCGTCAGTGTATTTCGGCGACTTTGCCATGGGATTGCTTTTGAGAAGTTCTCTCTGTTTGTTCTCCTGGTGGATGATGTGCACCACGTGCCCCAGATACACTAAAGTTGGAGTGGAAATGAAGATGATTTGCATGACCCAGAAGCGGATGTGCGAAATGGGGAACTGCCAGTCGTAGCACAGGTTATCGCAGCCAGGGGTGTTGGTGTTGCACACTAAGTTGGATCTTTCGTCGCCCCAAACATTCTCGGCTCCTGCTCCCAACACCAAGATGCGGAAGATGAATAGGACGCTCATCCATATCTTCCCGATGACAGTGGAGTGAGACTGTACTTTGTCCAGTAAGGCTGAGAGAAACCCCCAGTCTCCCATAACTGGCCGCTCAGTTGGTCAGGACTTTGCTAAACAGGAGATAATAGTGAATTATTGATATTTAGTTACTGTCAGAAAACATGATTGAAACTAGCATTTTGGGGTCAGTGGAGGGAACAATTTGCTGTTTGTTTAAACCAGGCTACGGATTTAAAATGAGCTGAAACTTGAATTTGTTAACATTTGTTTGCTTTTCTTTTACAGTGAATAGCTCACACTCTCAGAAAAAAATGGTACAATTTTGTACCAAAGAAGGTACAAACCCTTGTCACTGGGGCAGTACCTTTTTATGGTAGAGAATTGTACCTTAAGACAAAGAATCAAATTTGTAGCATTGCAGTTTCTACCTTTAAGGACATGATTTGTACCATGGGAAACCAAAATGTACCTTTGCTTTCTAAAACCTGCATTTTTATCAAAGGTTCAAATGTGACCCATGAAGGAAGCACCACAGTGACAAGACACTTTGCACCTTAACAGTGTCAAAAATGCTTACCAAACATGTATTTAAAAGACTTAAAGGCTTAGTTTACACTACCTATAGTTTTGTTTTGCCAGTTGTTTTGTATTATAGAACTTAATAATTCATGTTTATGAGTTTTTTTAACCCTTTGATGCACTAGATTGAAAATAGATATAGAAAAAATAAATGTAGAAGGGTCACTTTAAATCCATGTAGTGCATCAAAGGGTTAAACATATGCTTTTAAATGATGATTCTTCTTTTAATATGGAAACTATTCATAAATCACTTTGCCTTTCCAGTACTCTTTATTTTCATAGGTATTGCAATAAAGGAGTGATCCAACAGTTATGTATCTTTTTTATAAGAACAATTGTGTACCTTCTTATCAATTGTAACAAGGTACAAAACAGTATCATAAGAGGTCTTTTCTGTACTATATAAGGTACAACTTTTACAAAGGTACAAAACTGTTCCTTAAGTAACATTATTTGTACCACTGTATATATATATATTTCTGAGAGTGTAGTAGACTAGACTTTGTGAATAAACGTAAGTGTTTAATGTTCAATACACTTCAATTTCAAAAAAAGAAAAAAGCAATAAGTTAACTTAATTCCATCATATTGTCCCAACACAAATGGATTGTGTGAAACAGTGAAGTGAATAGCCTACACTGTAAAAAGCGATTCACTGAAAATGTGAGTAATTGAGTTATGTGCACAATTATACAAATTAAGTTAAGTCAACTTTGAACAGTTTCAAGTGAACAGAAATATTCCAATATTTTTTAAAGGAAAGTCAACTTGCTTTTTATTTAATACAATGGGTTTACATATTTTTATATAAGTAATCACTTTTTACAGTAGACCTTTAAAAAAACAAATTGTGAACAAAACAAAAGGTTTTACGTTCAATCCAATTAAATTTGCAAAAACTAACAAGTTAATTTGATTCCATCATGTTGTCTCAACACAAATCGATTGTGGAACCCAGCATTTTTTTTTTATAATAATTGTTTTTAAAATGAATAGCCTAGACGATTTATATACACTTTGCAAATAAACTTCAGTCTTTTATGTTCAATACACCTAATTAAAAAACAAAACAATAAGCTAACTTAATTTCATTATGATTTCCCAACACAAATCGGTTGCGTGAAACGGTGAATAGCCTACACTCTAAAAAGCGATTTGCTAAATAACCTAGTGAACGCATTGCTTCAAAATAACTAAGTAATTTAACTATGTGCACAATTATAAAAATTAAGTTAAGTCAACTTAACAGTTTGAAGTGAACAGAAATATGTATCTTTTTAAAGGAAAATCAACTTGTTATTTTTTAAGACAATGGGTTTACTCAATTTATTTGAACAATAACTTTTTACAGTAGACCTTTAAAGAACTCTTTGTGTATAAACTTAAGTGTTTTAAATTCAATTCACTTAAGTTTATAAAAACTACTAAGGTCAATAATTCCATGTTATTCCAACACAAATCGATGGTGGAACACAGCCTTTTTTTACACAGATTAGTAGACCGTTTACATTTTTTTTACACTTTGTATATAAACGTGTTTTATGTTCATTACACTTAAATAAAAATAAATAAAAAAAAAACAAACATTAAATTAACTTAATTCCATGATGTTGTGCCAACACAAATTGATTGTGTGAAACCCAATATATTTTTTACAGTGAATAGGCCCTAGACCATCAAATAAAAAACAACAATGTGAACAAAGAGCATAGAATCACGTGAATCATAAAAATGATTCTAAGTGAATAAACTATGTTCAAGGAATGAGAATTGTCACTCGTCACACATAAATTATGAAATATTTTCACTTCCCAAAAGTATGGGTTCTTTAAAGTGCTTACCCAGTGTCTTGTTCGTAAAACTTAATTCATACTCAGCAAGTGGAAAAAAAATTGTGGTTTATGTTTTTTTTTTTTTTTTTGACATCCTGTAGATATTAAAAATGACATTCTTTAAAATCATATTCAAAATATTATGTCAAGCTTTGTATTCATTCTAAAAGGATTTATAACATGTTGTGTGAGGTATCTTTGTTGATTGACTGAATAATCTGAAAGTTTTGATGACAAAATTTCTGTTTAGTATTCTTTCTAAATGTTTAGATTTGATAAAGAATACTTGATATGATTTAAAAATCCCATTCTGTCGTTCTCTCTATATATTTGTTCAATATGTAACTATCAAAATACAGCTTATTTATGTTTAGTTAATAAAAAAACATGTCAGTTATTTCAATATATTTCATATTAACGTTATAGAAGATTATCATAATAAACATAGAAGATTTTACTGTTATAATGTAACTATAAGTAAAAAAATAATCTTACAGTTTTTAGACAATTTTTTAGACAATTTGGACAAATTTAGAAAATTTACAAATTTTGGACAGGTGAAAACATTTCTTCTAATTTTAAAAGAGAATGTTTTATTTGGAGCATAAAATGACAATTAGGAAAAATAACAAAAATATTTTTGGTTTTGAAAAAAATGTTTTAGTCAAATTTTCAGAAGAATTATGAAAGTACTATTTAGTAAAATAATACATATTTTAAATCAGCAAATAAGAAAACATTTAGTAATTTTCTGGAGAGAAAAAACTATTTTATTATAATATTTTAATAACTATTATAATTATTATAACAATGTTTTTATTTAAAAAAATTGGGAAGAATTTTTATCAGACGTCTATAACCTTTTAAAAATATATGAAAACACATGCATAATAAAATCACTACATCCAGAGAAACTATCTCTATATAATTGAAGTCAAAATTTTTAACCCCTTATTTATTTTTTACCCAATATTTGTTTAATGGAGCAAAGATTTTTTCAACACATTTCTAATCATAATATTTTTAATAACTGATTTCTAATAACTGATTTATTTTATCTTTGCCATGATGACAGTAAATAAAATTAGACTAGATATTTTTCAAGACACTTCTATGCAGCTTAAAGTGACATTTAAAGGCTTAACTAGGTTAATTAGGTTAACTAGGACGGTTAGGGTAATTAGGCAAGTTATTGTACAATGATGGTTTGTTCTGTAGATTATCGAGAAAAAAAATATAGCTTAAAAGGGCTAATAATTTTGACCTTAAAATAGTTTTTAAAATTTTTAAATTGCTTTTATTCTAGCTTAAATAAAACAAATAAGACTTTCTCGAGAAGAAAAAATAATATCAGACATACTGTAAAAATTTCCTTGCTCTTTTATCTGTATTGAATAGCACCATATTACGTTTAAAATACATTTGATTTTGTCTTCTTCATTGTCTGAATATATTTGATGATAAGCTTACATTAAATAGTTCATTGTTTAAAACGTTTTAGCTTTTTAGAATAGATTTAATACAATCAACTATATATATTTTTCATATGTAGTTCTTAAATGCCTATATTTGATAGAAAAGTCAAATATATGCTGATGATTTATGAATTTAAAATGATTTAAATTCATAACTTCAACATCTGCATCTTCTTCGTTATCAAAAGTGTTTGTTATTTTATATAATATACTGAATTTACAAGATATTCTTACCTGAACAGATGAGTCCAAATGGTAATTACGCTGTTTAACTGCAAGTACTATTGAACCTGATTTTTAACAACTCATAGATATTTCAATAACCCTATTTCTTTTTTTTTTAGGTTGTTGGTATAAAGACGATCCTGTAATAAACCTTTAGTATTATTAAAACATGAAATGTCTGTCCGTTTCTGTGAGGTCACAGACTCTCAGACGGGACCTGTTGATCAATCAGTCATCTTTAGTTTTTGAGCTTTGATTTATCTGAAGAAACAGTGAAAACTCCGCCCAAATATATGATGATGAAAACCAGTTTAAACCAGACATCTTCACTTCTCTTTTTCAGTTCTTGTTAGGAACAATTAGTCATGAAATGAATCTTGTCCCAATATACGTTCACACACTGGTGAAACCTGGTTGTATCATCATTACTGGTTGTGTCACTAATAATTATGGCTTAGTGGTGAAACATGAGAGTTGATATAGGGTTGATAGAATTGAGCCTCATAAGAGACTTAAATCACTTCTGTGACCTTGAGAAGACTTGAACAGGAGTTGTTTCACAGAAATGATTCTTGCCTGTCTCTCTACAGTAAATCTGCTTTGATGTAATTAGCATGTAATAAGGGGCTATAGAAATAATGACTTGACTTGACATTTAGCAACAGTTTACTCCAGAGGAACTGACCCTGTAAAAAATATTTATTTGTTGCTAAATTGATACACAACTAAACAGTATTTTAACACTGTGAGGTATAATTGACGAATAGTAATTGACTAAATAGCTAATTAGTGATACTATCTTACATTTAAGATACATTTAATTTGATGTCTTTTACATTGTTTGAGTATATTTGATATTAAAGTTGCAAATAATAGATGGTTAAATTGGTGAAATGGATGGAAATAAAAGTCAAATATAAGGCGGTATGGTGGCTCAGTGGTTAGCACATTTCAGTGTAGAGTTTGCATGTTTTCCTTGTGGGTTTCCCCTCACAGTTCAAACATGTGCTGTAGGTGAATTTCTATTAATTAAATTGGCCGCAGTGTATGAGTGGTGTGAATTAGAGTGTGTATGGGTGTTTCCCAGTACCAGGTTGCGGCTGGAAGGACATCCGCTGTGTAAAACATATGCTGGAATAGTTGGCAGTTCATTCCTCTGTGGCAACCTCTGATAAATCAGAAACTAAGCCAAAGGAAAATAAATAAAGTCAAATGTACGCTGAATATTTATTTGTTGAAAGTGGATATAATTTTATGAGACATATTGTGGGCACTTTTTGACAGTAAAATATTGTTACAAAAGCGATTTACATTGTAATTATTCTACACTGTAAAAATAAATATATGAAAAAGTCATGACAACAAATGTTTTTACTTGTATTTTACTTTTAATGTAGTAATGTAATATTTTACATTAATGTAATATTATTAGTTTAAGTATATGTTCATGTGTTATGTAATGTAATATTTTTGTCAGTAAGCGCAGTTTGTAGATTGAGACCCCTGGTTTATGTGGTTTACAAGGACATAAAACTGTATAATGACATGAGTATGACCAAGTTGTACATTATAAATGTGGTTTACAGTGATATGCCTTGTGTCCCTGTAAATCAAAACCCGTAATTTGACTTAATGAGGTCTTTTGACATTGAATGGGGGTTAGGGTCATATAAAGGTTTTTTTTAGATCATAAAGTACATTATAACTATGGAGAGTCCCTGTAAAGCACATATACAAGTTTGTGTATTTGTGTTTCTGTGTGTGTGTGTGTGTGTGTGTGTGTGTGTGTGTGTGTGTGTGTGTGTGTATTATAGTTTTATGTATTCAGGTTTAATGATGGATAACTCATTTAAAGTTGAGGTATTAAAAGAAAAGTTCACTGCAAAAATGCTTTTCATAGATTTTCTGTCTTGTTTCCAGTCCAAATATCTAAAAATTATCAAATCAAGAAGCATTTTCTAGACTGGCAAAACATGTTGTCCATAATCTGCCAACAGATGGCAGATTATTTTGCATGTTTTAAACTTATTTTTGGCTTCTAATACTTCTTGAAACACGACTATGTTTTGCTTGTCTTGAAAATGCTTCTTGATTTTAGAATTTTTAGATATTTCGATTATTAACAAGACAAAAAAAATCCAAGAAAAACATTTTTTTGAAGTGTTACTGTGCACTGTAAAACCCAACAGTCAACTTTATCACATGAAATGAGTGTAGATAACTCCAAACTGTTCACAGCACTCATAAGGATTAGTTTTTGAACTTAAATGATTTGTTGCAATCGGTTTCCTCAAACAGTTTGAGTAACCTTAACTTCTTGGGTTTTACAGTGTAGTAAATTGTTTAAAAATGAACATTATGTATTCAAAATCAAGCTTAAAATGCAGTTTCATGTAGTAATGCTTAGATCAATCGGCCAGAGATCGTTATCAACCGATAATCACATTTAATGACTCAATCGGTACTCGGTGATCTAACTGATCTCATGAACCAATCGCAAGTGTTTGTGTTAGTTGGAGACGAGCAAAATATTTGAATGACCTTACATTTAGACATTTTTGCATGTAATTTAAGTTCTGAGTTTTTGACCATATTGCAAGTTCATTAAAGCTTAGCTGGAAAATTATGTAAATAATACGTTTTTAACATGAATATTTGATTATATAACTTCTTGTAATATACTTACTGCAATAAACAGTAGAGTAAATGCTTATTTTCTTTTAGTAAAGAAGTAATGGATTTATACTGTAGGCGTGCGTTTTAACTTCATAAAATATGTGCTCCTAACTTTTTCTCATTGAGATATGTTGAATTCCTCTCCTATCATTTGCAATGTTTCTAAATTGCATTGTTTGTCATTTTCTTTTTATCTTTTATTTTCTGTAAATCTAAAAATTTTCTTCTTACCATGACATGTTCACACCTAAATGGCTATAAGAGACACATTTAAGGGATTAACATCCTTAATTTATGATCTTAGGTAAGAAAAGATCTATTTTATGAAAAGTATCATATTTTGAGGGAAAATGTGCTTAATGCATTATAAAGCTTGAAGCGTCAGAATCGGTACTCCGTATCGGCCGATCACCATGACCGAGAATTAGTACTTGGTATCAGCTGCAAAAATTCTGATTGAAGCATCTCTAGTATTATGCATACTAGGCCAGTAGTTTGCAGTATGACTGTGAAGAAACACTGCATTGATGTTTGGTTGTTTTTTTTTAGACTAAATATGATATAAGCATGCACATGGCATCAACATTTTTTAAAATTTTTTTGCATGGAGACAATAAGGTTTTCAATTGTTTGTGCTATCAATCCTCCAAAACAAATGGAAAAAACACATTGAAAAAGATAAAATATTTTACATTTGAAAATTATTTGTAAATGCCTCTCATCTGAAACAAGCTGCATTTAATCCTTAATTGGTTAAATATGTGGAAAATGTCTACATTCTATATTTATTCTCTGCATAAAATAAAACACACTCTGACCTGGTCTAAACACTTGACACAGTTGAGCTTCAAGTAAAGCTGAGTAATCTCCCGGTGAAAAGGAGTTTTATTTCTCATGGATTGAAATTCTTGTTTAATTGTGTGTAATTGTGGGAGAGTGATTTTGCGGACGGTTCATCCTAGAAATGAACTTTTAGCCTGTCTTGAGTCTCTGAGTAATCTCTTGCTTATTAAACAGATACAACTGCATTTCATGTCATACGTAAGTTCCAAAACTGAAGGCAACAGAGGGACGAAAAACTATTTAACTGCCATGTAAACTGATGAAACGATCATTTTACAGTACATTTCTGCAGAACTACTGTTGTACTATAGATTTTAACTAAACCACATGGTTGAAAAAAATAAATATTTTTTTCAGGAGATGCAACAGAAAGGTCATCTAGTACTGACAGAAAAAAATCTTAAATATTAACCTTTAGGCAACGCATTGGCGCAGTAGGTAGTGCTGTCACCTCACAGCAAGAAGGTTGCTGGTTCGAGCCTCCGATGGGTCAGTTGGCGTTTCTGTGTGGAGTTTGGATGTTCTCCCTGCGTTTTTGTGGGTTTCCTCTGGGTGCTCCGGTTTCCCTCACAGTCCAAAGACATGTGGTACAGGTGAATTGGGTAAGCTAAATTGTCCGTAGTGTATGAGTGTGAATAAGTGTGTATGAATGTTTCCCAGAGATGGGTTGCAGCTGGAAGGGCATCCGCTGCGTAAAACATATGCTGGATAAGTTGGCAGTTCATTCCGCTGTGGTGACCCCAGCTTAATAAAAGGACTAAGCTGAAAAGAAAATGAATGAATAAATGAATGAATATTAATCTTGATAAATGGACTCTATTGTCATATATCAACTGTCATTGAAAACGAAAGCAGTGAGGACTGGGAATGACATTAGAACAGGATCATCAGATTTTTTTGACAAACTCAGTATTTTAGGGAGCATGTACTTACAAGCTTTGATAATTCATATTATCCCCCATATTATCAGATCATTATACTGTGGGCTTCAAACAGAAATTACTGTTAATGGCTATTATTGAAAGAACATTATGTGGCTAGGAATTTTAAAGAAACCTCAATTTCTGGTCAGGAAATAATGGAAAAAGGAAGTAAAGAGGCTTCCTAAGAAATCATGGTTTCAGAATAATGTTTCCATGGACTTTTGATCTCTATAAACAGATTGTTATATTCATGATCTTACAGTAAGCACATGCAAATGTTGTTTTTCTCCCTTGCCAACTTACATTTTTTCACAAAATGAAGGACTGTTTACACTAAAGCCAATCACCGTGATTGGAATGACAAAGATATCATTATAAAAATCCATCAAAGATTAACATAGATGAATGATGCACTTCAAAACTCTAACAATAACATCACAAAGAAAATATATTGCTGGATCGCCTTTCAGAATGAGAAGCTAACGTTGTATGGGTGTTTCACATGTGATGCAGAGCTTAAAGCAAAGACCTAAGCAATCAAAAATCAAGGTCAAACTACTTGGTCACTGTGAACTTTTCTCTTACGTTTGCTTTTGAAAACATTGTTGGTCAGGTTTAGGTCAGTGGTTTAAGTGAGCTGTATAATAAGCCTTGCCTTCTCATGGATGTGTTTTCGAATCGTACAACAAAATGTTCCCTAAGTCAGTGGTCCCCAACTTTTTTATCACAGCGGACTGGTCAAAGCTTGGCAATTATCAACCATCTTATTTCTCAA